AGAATGTCAGAGCTGAAAGAGGCCAACAAGAATTTATTTATCAGTCAACAAGAATTTATTTATTAATTTTAAATTTTTTTTAATCCCTCCTATTTCTGTCCCCTTTGAAAAGAGAAAAACAGAAACAAAATCCTTGTAATGAACGTGTGGAGCAAGCAAACAAATTACCTTAACAGCCAAAAAAACCTGTACTTCCTGACCTGTCCTCTACGCTGTTACCTCTCTGGAAGGAGGAGGGTGGCGCATTTCATTGTGAATCCTTAGAATCGTGGTTGGCTATTGCTATGGCTACTATGTGTCTGACACGTGCTGGGTTCTGGGGACACAAATAATAAGTATGAACCAGTCCCTGCCCTGGAGGAGCTGATACTAATGAGGTAGACAACAAGTGTATCTAGAAATACATACAAACTAGTGGCAAATAAACACAATGTAGTTGAGTATGTGGTTTGGGAGGGAGGGAACTGGTCTTGGGAAAGCCTTCCTGTAGGAGACGATCTCATCCATGGATCATAAGTTTAGAGTTGGAAGAAGCCTTGGGACTCTGAGTCCAACGAGAGGTTAAGTAGTATGCCCAAGGTCCCGCAGGAAGAAACCGGGACGGTCTGGACCTAAACCCCGGCCATAGCTTTAGACTAAGTCCAGCTCTCTCATTTAAACAACAAGAAGAATAATGATAATAGCAGCTAAATATTTATATAGGACCTACAATGTGCCAGGCACTGTGCTCAGTGCTTTTTACAAATATTTTCTCATTTGATCCTCACAACAATCCCGGAAGGTATGTGCTATTATTATCCCCACTTTACAGATGAGGAAACCGAGGCAGGCAGAGGTTGTGAGTTGCCCAGAGTCACACAGGTAGTAAGTGTCAGGTGTAAGATTTGAACCTGGATTTTTTGACTTGGAAGTTCAGTGTGCTTTACACTCTACTATGCTACCTCCCCACGCTCCCTTGTTCCCAGTGTCCCTGCAGTCCCTCCCTTGGGAGCCAGGTGAGGCCAATGAGACGTGCCTGTTAGGTGTGAATGCTACCTCCCTGCTCCCCAATAGCTAATTCCCTCTTTCTGCCTTTTGCCCCTGCAGTCTGCGAGTCCTGCCAAGAGTACTTTGTCGATGAATGCCCCAACCATGGTCCCCCTGTGTTTGTGTCCGACACGCCCGTGCCCATGGGCATCCCTGACCGAGCAGCTCTCACCATCCCACCTGGCATGGAGGTGGTCAAGGAGGCCAGTGGGCAAAATGATGTGCGCTGCATGAATGAGGTCATCCCTAAGGGGCACATTTTCGGACCTTACGAAGGGCAGATCTCGACGCAGGATAAATCGGCCGGCTTCTTCTCCTGGTTGGTGAGTTTCCCCTCTGCTGCTCACTTGGGACATCCCTGGGGAAGGGATTCAGTGCCAGAGCCTAGGTCTCAGCTCATGGACCCTTCCTCCATCACAAAAGAGATGTGGGTAGTAAACCCTGCTGTGCCCACAGACTGAGGCCCAGGGCAGCTAAGGAGCCCACCCCACAATAGGACAATTCATTAGCAAACATTGTGGCACATTGGCAAAGAGCTGGATTGGGATTTGGGCTCTGGGTTCAAATCCAGGTCTACTACTTCTGTGACTTTGGGCAAGTCACTTGACCTCTTTCTGCCTCCATTTCCATATTTGTAAGATGAGGGGGTTAGATTCAGTGAACTCTAAAGTCCCTTTCAGCTCTAAAGCTATGATCATATTGTAGAATCGTGGTTGGCCATTACTCAGCAAGACTTTATTAAGTACCTACTATGTGTCTGGCACATGCTAGGTGCTAGGGATACAAATAATAAGAATGAACCAATCCCTGCCCTCGAGGAGCTCCACTAATGGGATAGACAACAAGCATATCTATAAATACATACAAACTAATAAACACAATGAGGTTGAGTACAACGTTGTTTGGGAAGTGGGTGCCAACAAAGTGGCTTTTGGACAAAGAATGTCAGAGTTGGATGGATGTTCTGTAGTCTTCTGCATTTCTTCTCTCTTTCGTGCTTTCTGGGATACAAGATGCCTAAGTGAGGATGTGGTGGGTCATCTGGAGCAAAGCTTCATTCTTCCTCAGGTTTCCCAGCAGAAGCCCTTAACGGCTATGCCAATAAGATAGGGCAAAATCCTGCACTTCCTCTTAGTTAAAGATATTAAGGGGAGATGAAACAGAGTGAAGCTGGTGTGAGAGACAAGGTGATGATGGCTGTGGTCAGGGAGGGCAAAGCTGAGCTCCAAAGGGAGGTCCCTCCAGCAGGGGCACTCTGGTGGTGAAGGGGCCACCCAAGGAAAGATGGCATTCCCTATGTTGTGAAGGCAATGCTGGTGTCCTTGTGAAAAATAAAGACAAGGTCAAGGTTCAGCCATCATGGCGCCTGTTGCCAAGAAGGGAGCTGACCTGTGACTCAGGATTACATCCAAGGCTAATACCTTTGCCTGATTCTCTTACTGGCCATTTGTAAAAATGCCTCATTAGAGTGTCTATATAATAAGAAAGAAGGAGGAGGAGAGGGAGAAAAGGAAAAGGAGGAGAAGAATGTCAGAGCCTCAGAGGAGCCTTAGAACACAGAGTGTCAGAGTGGGGAGAGACCTTAGGAAATAGGATGTTAGAGCTGGGAGGAAACTTAAAACAGAGTGTGGAGCTGAGAAGGACCTTCGAAGAGAATGTCAGAGGTGGGAAGAACCTTGGAATGTTAGAACACAGAATGTTAGAGCCAGGAGTATTCTTAGAACGTGGAATGTCAGAGCTGTGAGGGACCTTAGAACATAGAATGTCAGAGCTGAGAGGAAATCTTAGAACATAGAATGTCAGAGCTGGGAGGGACCTTAGAACACAGAATGTCAGAGCT